GAACACAGCTGATACATCCGGCAAACTCATTGCCGGGGCAGTGGCCTTGAGACGTCACGCCTGGCTCAGGGCCTCCACTCTTTCTCCTTCAGCTCGCACGCTGATTGAAGATCTCCCTATGGATCAAACAGGATTGTTTAATCCAGAAACAGATTCCCAGCTAAAACATTCCCATGAGATGAAACAAACAGTCAATAAATATGACCAACAACCCTACCAACAGAGACAACGATGGGGTAATTACTATCATTACCCCACCTATCATAGAGGCCGTTACAACCCCCACTCCTACAGAGGGAAACAACGTCCTCACTCATCTCCTACCACCACTGGGAAGCCACCTGTTCCCTTTAAGGGTCAGTATCGGGGCACCAAACCACCAGATAACAAAAAACGGCGCTTTTAGCCCCCCTCCCTCCCCAATACTAAATCCACCTGCCCCTTCCCCACCCCCCACACACACCACATCCACCTCACCTTCATACCTCAACAGACTCCATCCATACCTACCTGCCTGGCAGTCCATAACCAATGACACCTGGGTCCTCCGCATAGTTGATGAAGGCTACGCCATTGAATTCGATTCTCTCCCTCCACTGGGAAAAATTCTACCAACTCAATCCTCTCCCATGCTTTGGGATGAAATCCTCTCTCTTTTTAAAAAAGGGGCAATTTCCCCTATACATCCCAACCTAGCACACACTTGTTTTTTCTCCCGCTACTTCCTAGTAGATAAAAGGGACGGAGGCCAACGCCCCATCTTAGACCTCCGAGGCATTAACAAATTCATTTCACCTCGCAGATTCCGCATGGTCACACTAGCCAACATCCTTCCTTTCATCACAAGGGGAGCATGGCTCGCCAAGGTAGACCTCAGGGACGCATACTTCCACATTTCAATTAGACACAGCCATCGCAGATACCTCTGCTTTGCGCTAGACAACCACATTTTTTCCTTTTCCGTATTACCCTTTGGCCTCTCCTCCGCCCCAAGGGTTTTCACTAAATGCATGGCAGTAGTGGCTGCTCACCTATGCCAAAACGGCATAACGGTTTTTCCATACATAGATGATTGGCTTTTTTCGGCGAAATCTCGCTCCCAACTCCTCTCTGACATCTCCTTCACCTTGTCTCTCCTACAGGAACTTGGACTTGTCGTAAATCTCGACAAATCCCATCTCATACCTACCCAGCGCATCCATTTTATTGGTGCCCTGATAGACTCCACATCCCAACGGGCTTACCTGCCAGAAGACCGGTTCTCCAATCTCTGCCAAGCCATCAACAGCCTTTATTCTTCAGGCTGGTCCTCTTCATGGGCTATCCAGTCCATCCTTGGCCACATGGCGTCCACCACAAGTGTGACCCCTTTCGCCCGGCTCCGCCTCCGCCCGCTCCAATCCTGGTTCCTGGGGGTATTCGATCCCATTCACGATTCACAATCCATGATTCTTCAACCTCCCGCTCATGTCCTCAACTCCCTCCTGTGGTGGACAAAGGAATCCAATGTGTGCTCAGGTCTCCCATTCACACCCCCCCCCGCCCGTCCCTGTCACTGACAACGGACGCCTCCTCCTCCGGCTGGGGAGCACACCTCCGAGACCTGACGATCAGCGGCCGCTGGTCTCACTCAGAGCAACAACTCCACATCAATGCATTGGACCTACTGGCAGTGGGAAAAGCCCTCCGGGCCTTTGCTCACCAAGTCTCCAACCGCACCATCCAGATAGTCACAGACAACACGTCGGTGAAATTTTACCTCAACAAACAAGGCGGAACTCACTCCACAACCCTCCTCTCCATAACATCAGAGATTTGGGAATGGTGCATCCGGAGGAACATATTCCTCGTTGCAATCCACCTTCCGGGAAAAGACAATACCCTGGCGGACTCTCTCAGCAGGACTCCGACCACAACCCACGAGTGGCACTTACACCCCAGAGAGTTCAACCTCTTGACCCGTCACTGGGGCCAACCACAAGTAGACATGTTTGCCTCCCCAAACAACACACAGTGCACACTCTTTTGCACAAGGCTCCACCCTCACGCATCCCCAGGTTGCTTAGGAGACGCCTTTCTCTTCCAGTGGTCCCAAGGGTTCCTCTACATCTTTCCCCCCCTTCCTCTACTCTCCAGAATAGTAGCGAAGGTCATCACAGACAAAGCCAACTGTATTCTGATAGCCCCATGGTGGCCCAGGCAACCATGGTTCGCTCCTCTCCTCCACGCATCACGAAGAACTTTTCTTCGCCTACGATCCAGCCCGGATCTCCTCACTATACAAAGCGGACTGGTCTGCCATCCAGATCTCCCAACTCTACACCTCACGGCGTGGAGGATCAGACCATGAGCCACCTCTCCGAGGCCGCACGGCTCATCATC